CAAAGATAACATTTAAATTCAGTTTTAAATTTGAAATAAATTCAACCTCAAGAAAATTTCAAAATCCGTGAACTTGTTTACTTCTATGTGCCGAACGAGTTATTTGTAGAGTGACCAGCTGCAAAGCTGGCTGTTGTTGCTGCTATCACGTGGGTGATGGAGGGAATTTTGAATTATTTGTATTATACATAAAAGTGAAATACCACTCTCAATAAACTTGACCTACCGGAAATCACCGGTTTTGCAGATGGTGAATTTATTTATTTAGTTAGTTTTTTTAAGAATAGGCGGTTACCTTTTTATTTTATGCAATGGGAAAATACAAAAAAAGAGAAAGAGTTACACTAATCTTTTTATGTATTTAAAAAATAGATTCAGTTTTATAAAATTTGACATAATTAATTGTATTAGACTTCTTTTAAAATTTAATTTATATAATATTTAGTTCATTTATTTATAACATTTTATTAGTTATATGAATTAAAAAAATTGATGCTGTTTTTTTAACATTGAAATATTATTTTATCTTTTTTTATTCTTGTGTTTACATACAATCTGCATTAATTACAATTGTTTTAACTTTCCTAAATGAGAGATCGCTGTAATTATATTAAACTTATGAGATTTATTATATTTAACCTTTTTATTTTATGCAATGGGAAAATACAGAAAAAAAAAAGAGTTACCCTAATCTTTTTAAGTATTTAAAAAATAGATTCAGTTTTATAAAATTTGACATAATTAATTGTATTAGACTTCTTTTAAAATTTAATTTATATAACATTTAGTTCATTTATTTATAACATTTTATTAGTTATATGAATAAAAAAATTGATGCTATTTTTTTAACATTGAAATATTATTTTATCTTTTTTTATTCTTGTGTTTACATACAATCTGCATTAATTACAATTGTTTTAACTTTCCTAAATGAGAGATCGTTGTAATTATATTAAATTTATGAGATTTATTATATTTAGTAAAAAATAGATTCACATCAAATGGCAAGTAGAGTCACATTAGGTTTTAAGTTGTCCTATTAAGGGTGAGCATAATTCAATTTGGTTCATTTAAGAGTAAAACAATGACCAAACGACCAACACATGAAATTTGTAATCAAATTAGATTGAACCAATAAAATAAAGCTCGATCCAGTTTGGAATCACATTTTTCACAACATAATCACAAAATATTACTCACAATTTATTTGAATATATATATGTCAGCATTTTGTAAACAAAAGAACTTTAGATGATTGTTTAGAACTAATTCATCTACTATACAAAATCACACTTGTAAACATATAGGATTAACAACTTATGTACAAAAATGTAATACTAATCAAGTGAGTGTATATAGTAAATAATAAATTTTATATACATACATACATACATACATACATACATACATATATAAACAGATCAATTCCACTACAACAAAATGCATATTTGGCGACTAAATTTTTGGTCACCAAATATTTTGCCCAACTAAATATTTTGATCGCTGAATTGGTCGTGGGAAGCTTGTCGGGGAATGTATTGGCGACTAAATATTTTTTAGTCGCCAAAAGTCTTATAAATGGCAACTAATATTTTTAGTCGCCAAAAATAAAATTTGTCACCAAAAATCTTATTTTCCACTACTAAAACTTTGGTCGCCAAAACTTGAAGTATTTATGGCGACCAAAGTTTTAGTCGCCAAAGGATATTTTCATCTTTTTATTTTTTTCATTTTATTTTTTTTAGATACTAAATTCTTAGTCACCTAAAGTATGCTTTTATTTTAGCTACTAAATATTTAGTAGCTAAAAGTTTTTCTCCATTTTATTTTTATTTTTAGCTACTATTCAGTAGTCAAAAGTTTTTTTTCCATTTTATAAATAAAATTATCTATATACTGATAAAATTAGCAACCATTCCACAACATACACACATTTCACTTTCAACCATAAAAAAAAAAAAAAATCATATTTAACATCAAATTAATATTTCCAAAAGAAATTCCATACAAATCAAGTATAATCTAATCTCAAAAATATAATTCCATACAGAACAGAGAATTAAACAAAATTAATATCCAATTGTTAATTTGGCAATAAACCAACTAACAAAAACACCAAAAACATAAAAAAAGTAAAGGCCATAAAATAAAATAAAATAAAATTAGTGATGGAATCAGCTACAATCCAACCCTCAAAGCAATTACGGAAACAAAAGCTGAAACCTACATACATAAATTAATATAGACCAGTAACACAGATCACAAACAGTTGCTAACAAAAGATAACACAAATAGATACATAGTTTTTATCCATCATCAATTCATTGATCAACTTCTCTCATTTTATTCTCAAACCAAGTACAAAATAATTATATAGAGCAGAAATGAGAAGGCATACCAGAGTAATGACCATTCAAAAAATATATAGCATAATCAATAAGTTTCACTATTTACATTCTCTTGCTTAAACCCATATGTATATTGTGCATAATGAGTTAATCTAACCACAAGACCTAGTTGACATTGTAAACTATCTAGGAATGATTTTCTCTAATGAAAATGCTTTAGAACCAATAAAATTAATCCAGTCCCATCACTAGGCCCATATTTTGCATGGTATATTTTGAAATTTTAGTGCCTTTACTTTAAGAGAGATTCAATACTTGGACAAACAACCGCACCCGATACTCATACCAAGTCCATGTAACATAGGTTAAATACTTCTATAATCTATAGTATGACATGATAGTAATAACAGTGTCCTTCCAGGTGGATTTTACAAACTTCCAAAATATATTGGTCATGGAGCAATTATAGTAGTTATGTAATGTGCACTGAGTGTTACAAATTGCTTGTGGCCATGTTCTATAGTGTACAGTGTACTCATTGTTTGTTTGGTGCTGTGAGACTTCTTGATCATGCAGTGTATATAGCAGCTTGATCCAATTTTTATGTTGAGAGATGCTATCCCACTAAATCTTCTAGGAAACTGTTGACAGTTTTGAACATGCTTGAAGAATTAAAATATAGGTATATAAATTTAGCAGATTGTATATATGCCCTTGAGTTTCTATACATCTATGGTAACAGTTTTCGATCTGCAATTAAGAGAATTCTAGAAACAGATCAATCACCTTCTTCAATGTTGGTACTGTGCATATCATCCATTCTTTCAAATTGTGACTCAACTGTTGATACTCCATTAGATTTTTATGGGTTTTGATTTATATATATGGATATATATATATATATATATACACACACACAAAGAAGACTAGAAGAGGAAGAAACAGAGAGGGGTGTGAGGATGATTCTGGAAATTTTCTTGGAAAGTGGAAAGAAAGAGAGAGCTTTCAAAATGAAGACTTTGAGAGAGAGAGAGAGAGAGAGAGAGAGAGAGAGAGAAAGAGAGGTACCTAAGGCTCGGACAAGGGTTTGCACTGCATAAGCTGTGCAATATGCTCATCGAGATTCCTGTGGGTATTTGAAGCGACTAGATCTACTCTCATCTTCTAGATTATATACAGGAAACAATTTCAATGAAGAAAAACATTGATGGTTCTATCGATACCGAGAAAAATGGTGTAGAAGAAGACCTAATCATCAACCTAGATTTTGGGTCAATATGCGAACTGCACAGAGAGAGGAGAGAGAGCTCGCAATCAGTGCTCCAGTTGTCGGCGACCGTGAGGAGGAGCGGCGGAGGCACAACTAGTGGAGAGGCGATGAGAGAGGGAGGGGAGAAGAGCAGCGGAGTGACAGAGGCAGAGAGAACGAAAGAGGCTGAGAGAAACGCTGAAGAGAGAGAGACAGAGGCGCTGGTCTGTTGTCTGGGAACCAAATATATATATATATATATTACACTATTACCGACTTCATTCTTAACATCTTTACGCATATGTTATTCATTGGGCTTTAGTTTACTGTTTATATATATATATGTAGGTGTCCAGGCACCGGATCGGAGCTAGGAGCGTTGGGTTAAACTCTCTTTTTGTCAAGCCAACTAACGTGCCTCACTGTGAGATTCTAAGTGCTACCAAGCTAAGGCTGCTTGGGGGTGCTATAGATTCCCCCTTTTCTGTTTCTGTTTTGTATAGACCGTATAGTCTTGTACTGTACTGTTATGGTAGGGACTTGGTCCCTAACCTGAATGATTGTATATGATGTATGTATATACTATTTTATTCTGAATGTGAATATGTTATGAAAAGTCTTTTTGCATACAGACTGTCACAGCTCATTGGACATTTTTTAATTACTGTTTTGGCTTCCGCCAGCCCCTATACTCTGTATTACTGTTTTACTGTTAAGTAGGCCTTCGGTAATCTCGGATTACTGGCCGGTTACGGTGCTAAACCCATAGGGGCGGGTTTGGGTCGTGACAAATAACTATTCAAAAAAGATATAGCATAATCAATAAGTTTCACCATTTACATTCTCTTGCATAAACCCATATGCATATTGTGCGTAATGAGTTAATCTAACCACAAGACCTAGTTGACATTGTAAACTATCTAGGAATGCTTTTCTCTAATGAAAATGCTTTAGAACCAATAAAATTAATCCAGTCCCATCACTAGGCCCATATTTTGCATGGTATATTTTGAAATTTTAGTGCCTTTACTTTAAGAGAGGTTCAATACTTGGACAAACAACCGCACCCGATACTCATACCAAGTCCATGTAACATAGGTTAAATACTTCTATAATCTATAGTATGACATGATAGTAATAACAGTGTCCTTCCAGGTGGATTTTACAAACTTCCAAAATATATTGGTCATGGAGCAATTATAGTAGTTATGTAATGTGCACTGAGTGTTACAAATTGCTTGTGGCCATGTTCTATAGTGTACAGTGTACTCATTGTTTGTTTGGTGCTGTGAGACTTCTTGATCATGCAGTGTATATAGCAGCTTGATCCAATTTTTATGTTGAGAGATGCTATCCCACTAAATCTTCTAGGAAACTGTTGACAGTTTTGAACATGCTTGAAGAATTAAAATATAGGTATATAAATTTTAGCAGATTGTATATATGCCCTTGAGTTTCTATACATCTATGGTAACAGTTTTCGATCTGCAATTAAGAGAATTCTAGAAGGAGATCAATCACCTTCTTCAATGTTGGTACTGTGCATATCATCCATTCTTTCAAATTGTGACTCAACTGTTGATACTCTGCCAGTGGCATCAAATGGTGCTGAAACCACCACAGCTACAAAAGTAGATTAGGGGCTGGTTTGGCATAGACTATATAATCCATCTTTTTATCTTTTTATCTTTTTTCCATCACATCACCTCTCTACTTTTTTACACATCTTTTCGTAAAAAGACAAAAAGAGAAGTTGGATTGAAGAACAACACAGCTACAAAAGTAGATTAGATTTTTGAGATGCCTAAGAGACATTTTATCAAACAGTTTGAAGGCAAGGAAAAAAAAAACAGACAGACAAACAAACAAACAAATAAACAAATTGAAAAGCCATAACAACTTCCCAAACCAACAATTCATGGGGGGCAACGAGCCATTAGATTTTAATGGGTTTTGATTTATATATATGGATATATATATACACACAAAGAAGACTAGAAGAGGAAGAAACAGAGAGGGATGTGAGGATGATTCTGAAAATTTTCTTGGAAAGTGGAAAGAAAGAGAGAGCTTTCAAAATGAAGACTTTGAGAGAGAAAGAGAGAGAGAGAGAGAGAGAGGTACCTAAGGCTCGAACAAAGGTTTGCACTGCATAAGCTGTGCAATATGCTCATCGAGATTCCTGTGGGTATTTGAAGCGACTAGATCTACACTCATCTTCTAGATTATATACAGGAAACGATTTCAATGAAGAAAAACATTGATGGTTCTATCGATACCGAGAAAAATGGTGTAGAAGAAGACCTAATCACCAACCTAGATTTTGGGTCAATATGCGAACTGCACAGAGAGAGGAGAGAGAGCTCGCGGCGGAGGCACAACTGGTGGAGAGGCGATGAGAGAGGGAGGGGAGAAGAGCAGCGGAGTGACAGAGGCAGAGAGAACGGAAGAGGCAGAGAGAAAAAGAGAGAGAGACAGGCGCTGGTCTGTTGTCTGGGAACCAAATATATATATATATTACACCATTACCGACTAAATATTTTTTGTCGCCAATTCATTTTATAAAATCCCTTCAAAATTTGAAATGTCTGGCTCCAAATTTTTTTGGTTTTTGGCGACTAAAATAGTTTTTGGTCGTTGAAAATAAGGTTTTGGTGATCAAATTTGGTCGCCAAAGATAAATAATAATTTTTTATATTTCCATTTGACGTCGAAATAATTTTTGTAGCCGAAAATTCAATATACAGTGACTAAAAAAAATTTTGGTCACTGAAACTAAGTTTTTGGCGACAAAAATAAAAAATAATTTTTTATTTTCCATTCGGCGACTAAATGGTTTAGTAGCCAAAACTCAAACTACGGTGACTAAAATATTTTTTGGTCGTTGAAAGTAAGTTTTTGGGGACCAAATTTTTGGTTGCCAAAGATAAAAAAATAATTTTTCACTTTCCATTTGGCGACTAAATGCTTTTAGTAGCCAAAACTCAATATACGGCGACTAATTTTTTTTTGTTGCCAATTCTAGAAGTTTTAGCGACTAAATTTTTTTTAGTCGCCAATAATCAATATACGTTGACTAAAAAAAATTAGTGGCTAAATTTTTACTTTTGCCGACTAAAAAAATTTATTAGTCGCCAATTCCCCAACTTTTGGCGACTAAAATTTTTTTAGTCGCCAATTTTAGTCAACAAATGTGCATTTTGTTGTAGTGTTCGGTTCCAAATCATAATCGTTACTATAAAATTATGGATCAAATCATGAAGTATGGGTCGCCAATTTTAAAAATTAAGACTAAATCATGTATTAAAAAAATTTAATCAAACCATGCGATTTAGTTTAAGATTGCGTAATACAATTTTAAATTAATTTTAAGTTATACAATACTAAGTTATTTTATTGATAAAGTTGTGTCTTGTTACAAGAAGTGACAAGTAGATTAGTAACAAATAGTAAAATACAAAAAATGTAAATATAATGAAATATTAAGTGTTAAGTAAAGTCACAATGTGTGGTAAGTAGGATCAAAACAAATGATAAGTATTGTACTTATAAATGGTAAGTACTTAATGATATTTTACTTATTACTCAATTAGACCTCAGTTACTCCTCAACCAGACTCTACTTATTACTTGTTCATACTCTACTTACTATTCCATCAAACTTGACTTACGATTCAATCAAATGTGATTACTACTCAATAAAATCTAGTTACTATTGATTGGTAAGTACAATAAAAACAAATTGTAGGTAGAGTCACAATAACTGACAAATAATAAATTAAAAATATGAATTTTAAATTATTAAACAAAATGTAAAAGTTTATTTGACTTCATTTAGTACTGAAAAAAATACCACTTCATTTGACTTGACTTATTATACAAAAAAAATATCCCACGTTATTCGGGGGAGTCGGGGGACCTATTTTTGTGTGGATGTGGCGGTTTCAATAATTTATTAGATTTAACTTGGTACTTACTAGATTTCACTTACTACTTAATGAAGCTACTTACTATTTCATTGGACTTTACTTACTATTTAATAAAACCCCGCTTACTAGTCCATTAAACTTGAGTAGTAAGTTTAAATGAGTAGTAAGTTGTTTCATAATAAGTAGTAAGGTCAGAACGAGTGGTGTAATGTCCCGAAAATAATAACAATAACTCATACCATGGCAATTAATAAATAACAACACAAATGAAATAATAAGCCTTCATTAATCAGAGTCTGATATACAAAAAGGTGACATATGCGATATACATTCATAAACCTACATCTTGAATCTACAACATATGCCCCATATAATAGAGATGAAATGAAAGACTATACAAAATTGATGCCTTAATGGATGCAACTTTTCAATGTGGTACTTGGTTACAACAAGGTAAGTCAAAGCTCAATACAGTTAAAGCCCTAGGCTTATACAAAAATAAATAAATAAATAAATAAAAATAAAAAAATACAACATTTAACAAAAAAAAGCCTTCAGCTCCAAGTTCCTCCTAAGTCATGTCCTTCGTGGAGGCATATCATCAGCACTTGAAATGGTTTTCCACATAGGGTGAGTCAAAACTCAGTAGAGATATTACAACATAGTGTATGAATCTTGACAAAGCCATAAGATGAATGCATATGCAATACTCGTGCCAGTGCCAAAACATTTTATATCTCTTCCCGAAACCATGCAATGCCAGGTTTATGTTCCAATTCATGAAAACACTTCATTTACTACAGAAAACAGGGCAGTGAATCATAACTTTGGGAGTCTCATGACAATTACAATCTTTTACGAAAATTTTGTTCGCAAGAAACCGTAAACCGGCACCCATGTAAACGTAGGCTACAAAAGCACTACTCTTGCCATTTCACGAAAATTCTAAGCAGATATACAATCTCAAGATAGATAAATTATCCAATATTCAAGGGTGTGAAGCATTGCATATTCAATTCCACCGTCCATTTCAAGACTCACTTAATCCCATGTTTACAGCACAAATTTCAACTATTTATACAAAATAGATTTAATAGTCATTTTAGGTCAAGAGTCCCTATTTCCAAAATATCAACCCAAGTACCAAAATCACCCATTTTGACACAACATGACTTCATTTTCAAACCCTATGTTCATTTATTTCATTTCCATCAAAACCCCTCTTTTACATTTCTCCCAAACCCCAGGCTTGTTCACATCCCCAAATCCCACCATTGTTACACAATGGACAAATAACTAAGTTAAAAACCATATTAAAGTGTAGAAAATCCTTACCTCAAAGAGAAAAGATGAGCCAAGCAAAGGTGGAGCTCCAAAAATGTCGAAATCCAACTTCAATCGGGTCAAATGGAAGATCTTGAGAAGTTCTACTTTTTTATCAAAAGAAGAAGGGTGGAGAAATCAATAAATCTAGGGCAAAATGCAGAGAGAGAGAGAGAGAGTATTTTAGAGAGAGAGGCTCTCAACTTTAGGGTTTAGGATGAAAAGAGATGAAAAAGTGATGTAAAAAGTCACTTTTACGATCTGATACATACGCAGTCCGCTCGAGAGGAGAGTTTGACGCTCAAGCGTCAGACACAACAATTTATTCCGCTCGAGTGCAAGAAGAGACCCGCTCAAGCATAGAGTACACACCTCTAATATTTTTTTGCAAACGACAGACCAAGCACTCAAGCTCAAGAAAGGATGCTCGAGCACCCACCCGCTCGAGCATAGAAAATGCCACTCGAGCGTGAAAGACATCCCTCCAGCACTTTTGCAAACGTGCAAAGTACTAAGAGTTTGCAAATCCCACTCGAGCGCAAAAAAGGCCGCTCGAGTGGAGGACCAAAATGTACATAGCCCGCTTGAGCGAAAGGATGGTCGCTTGAGCAGAGAGGCAAAAATCTGGGCAACAAGGTTTGGAAAAAACAAGCAACCAACCTGCTTCCAACACAACCACAACAACCCAAAGGCATTTCAAATAGATACAAGCGAAGAAAGAGGTAAACAACAATATGAAAGCATCAAACCCGAGTTTGGAATACCACAAGAATTGGGTCAAAATCAGGATCGCTATAAACACTACCTTCCAGTACCTCTGTGTGGACTCGACTTCTTCGCGCCCCCCTTTTGGAAAGCTTGAATTGGTCTTACAGTTCGGACTCTTGTCACAGTTCTGAATCTAATCTCACAAAGTGTAATGTGAGACTGATAAAAACCAAAGAGTCCAAATTTGGCAAATTGTTTTGAAAAATTGATTTTGAATAAAAAAGGCCAAAAATGGACTGCTTTGCTAGATTACAGAGTCGTCACCTAAATATTTTATTTTGGAGAAATTTAGGAAACCTTGACTCGTGCCAAAGGCCACGTGTCTGTCATCACCAAAGTTGCCTCGGCTCGAGAACTTGGGCATGGGAGGGGAAGGTTTTGAAATGAGCACCCTCGCTTACCCGATCGAAGGATCGGCCTCTACTAACCATGATATGTTGCTTTATAAACCTCATGTGTTCTTATTCCAGTTATTAGCTAACTTTACTATGTGACGCGCACGCAAGCAAGTATAGACTAAATTGCAAGAATTGGAACAAATTTAACTTAAGTTTGTTTTCGAAAATGATTTGAAGTTGCCACCCTCAAGTGGGCTTAAAACATGATTTGCCACTTCGCAAAGTGGGCTTAAAACTCACATTTATCGAATTGTTCTAATTTAAACAATCAAGCCTTCATCCAAATCTATTGCCACCTAAGACACATGAACAATAATAAATAAAGCCTATCCCTAAAGATATCTTATATTTACCATAGGTCTTAATGGCACTTCTAAACACAATCAGAGAATTTAAGAAAGACTTTTGGTAATGAGATTAATTAAAGCTTGAACAGTATAATACTGTAGCTCGACTTTTTCGCGCGCCCTCCTATCGGAGAGGCTCGAATTGGTCCTACAGTTCGGACTCCTGTCACGGTTCTGAATCTAATCTCACAAAGTGCAATGTGAAATTGATAAACACCAAAGAGTCCAATCCGGCAAATCATTTTGGAAAATTAGATTTTAAATCAAATAATTCCAAAATTGGACTGCTTTGCCAGATTACAGAGTCGCCACTTAAATATTTTCTTTTTGGGAGATTTAGAAAACCCTGACTCGTGCCAAAGGCCACGTGTCCGTCATCACCAATGTTGCCTTGGCTCGGGAACTTGAGTACGAGAGGGGAAGGTCCTGAAATGAGCACCCCCACTTGCCGGATTAAAAGATCGGCCTCTACTAATCATGATATGTTGTTTTACAAACACATGTGTTCTTATCCGGTTATTGGCTAACTTTACTATGTGATACACAGCATAGCAAATATAGACTATATCGCAAGAATTGGAACAAAACAACTCATGTTTGTTTTTGAAAATGGTTTGGAGTTGCCACCCTCAAGTGGGCTAAAACGCGGATTTGCCACCTCAAGTGGGCTTAAAACATGATTTGCCACTTCGCAAAGTGG